GTATAGCAGAAAGTGAAACCTGTAGCTCGTGGCGAGCTCGTAGAGGGTGCTATCCCACTCATACAGCATCGCGATCAGCGCGGGGAAGACCTCTACCGCGCGCAGAATGGCGTCACCGCGGGAGAGCCAGCGGACGTCGTGGATCCCTTGTAGCTCCAGGTTTGTTTTCGTGAACACCTCCTGCAGGCCAATGAAGCGTTGATGCCACGGACCAGAACGCCCCAAATGCTCTGCCACTTGGCGGAGCAGGGAGTCCACCATGCCGAACTCGGGGAGTTGTTCAGCGGCGTCCTTTGCTGCGAGGGCCTCCCTGCATGCACACCAGCATTAAAACCGGCTCAAGGAGGGGTTAGTAGGGGATGCAGCAGGGACTGTATGGAAGCAGTAAACAGAAGATGAAAACTGACATGTGGGCGATGCAGTGGCTCGAAACAAGATGCGGGATGCGGAGGCGAAGTCGAGCGACAAGGCCGTTGTGTTTCCCCATCATCACACTCGCTCCGTCAGTGCTTATGCCGGATATCCTCGCCAGTTCAATGCCTAGGGCCCGCAGGTGAGACAAGAGCACTGAGAGGAGAGAGGCTGCATCGCCCTTCTCCACGGTCAGTAGGGCAAGGAACTCAGTCACGGGACGATTTTCACGGATGAATGTCGGGAAAACAATCATATGCTTTCCCCGACACCTATTCGTGCTTTCGTCGCATGTGACGCCAATGTATGGGCTGCTGAGGATGTGCTGCAGTTGCGTTGTGTGCAACCATGTGGCCATCGACTGTGTCAGCTGTCCGAAGCCGTAGCTGCAGCACATGTCAAACAACACAACGTCAGATAATTCGGTTGATTTTCACAAACACGGTTGCAGTTAGATTAATTCAACACTCACGTAGTATAATAGGTTCCGTAGCCTTTTGCTGGGAACCCGGGCACATTGAGTCGCGCGAGGTAGCGCACAAGATTCACCCATAACTCTATGGGTGCATCTTGCTTGGTCACGAAGAGCAGGGAGTCGAGGAGCTTGACGACCCGCTCCTTCTCCGTGTCGCGAGCGAGATTGTCGCCGTTGATCCGTGGCTGCGTAGCGGCATCGTCGAGAAGCTTCTGCTGGTGTTTCAACGCCTCCTTGTGCTTGGTAGTTGCCGCATGCCGTTTGAACGCCTGCGTCTGAACGTCTGTGGCGCCCTTTCCGCCTCTCCCACACGGTCCAGCGTAGCCTGCGTGCACCGTACATATGCTGCACTTGAAAGCGGGGAAATCGTCAGTTTTTTTTAGCAGAATAAGCCAAGAAAACCGCTCAAGCCACTCGCTTTTGTACTTATACAGAGCCTCCGCGTAGGTTGCGTCTGGCCCAGCCGGTTTAGAAGGCCCAGGTGTTGAGGGCGACGCCTGCGTGCCTGCGGTCGCGGGCATCGACAGTTGGTCGGCTGGCGAAGCCGGTATTGCACCAGCGGGACCTCCCGTCTTGGGCCACGGCAGCGTTGACTGCGTGTACCTGGCGGCCTTCTTAGCCACTGGCACCGCCGCGATTTCTTCACCTGAAGGGTTGGAGCTGTCTTGCTCCAACACGGGCGCAGTAGGGGAGGGACACAGAGGCTCGTCGATGGGTTCAAATGGAACATCGACGGTCGCCGCGACTGCAGGCGCCTTTCCATGGTTATCTACAGCCGCTAAGTTGGAGAATAGCAGATCCAGCCCGGTAACGGCCGCGGACAGATCAATTGGCGAACGACGAGCGGGTTCATCGCCGGGGTCATCAGGTCGTTCAATGGCGTCCGGGTGGTCCGCCATTGATTGCGCTGTGAACAAGCAACATCTAACGGGACTCCCTAGCTAGCTGAACGATGGAGGTTTGCCAGGAAGAGAGGACACACGGCTGACTGCCTCTTGGTACACCAGGCAGCAACGCGATGAAACCTTACCCTTGCTAGATGGAAGGAAAGCATGGAGCAGACTGGGGTGGGAGACTGGATGGCTGGCAGCACGGCTGGGCGGCGTGGATGCATCCGTGCTTGCCAGCACGACTTAGACAAAACGGGCCAGAGGACCACAGGTGCTTCACATGGGCCTGAATCCCTCGTTGCGCTGCCTGCCAGCATCGCTGTGCTGCAACCCTGTAATTGGCCAAATCAGGAAATGCTGTCAAAGTGGCCAATCATCGCACCACGCGCGCCAACAACGCATCCCTCTACGAGGCAAATTTGTCTGCTACTCACCGCCACGCCCTGCTGACACCGCGGGAATCTGATATTCCCTGTACAGCCGGGCAACTACACACGAACCGTGTAGGAATCGCTTTCAGGGTCGGATTCGTTACAACGTAGTGGAATCAGTGTCTCTAGAAAAAAATTGCTGAAAGTTCAGAGTCATGTGCTAGGTGAAGGCTGAAAAATCAGCCCCACAAAAAGCTGAACACTGGAAAATCAGTGTAGGTTAAAAAAAAACCCTGGAAATCAGGAATTTCAGGGGAAAATTCCTGATATCGTAGGGCCTGATATGTACTCTTGCATCTGAACTGGCCATGTGGCCTTGTACTTATGCTCGGAATGTGTGGTGACTTTGTGATCCACCCTGAGCTTTGCTTTGTTTTGCTTTGCTTGACTGGTCTTGTGACCCCCTGTTCTCCCCCACTTTGCCTATGGGGGTGTGTCAGAACACTATAGCTTATGCTTTTGTGTAGGCTGTAGCGAGGTATCCCATAGGGGGTACAACCCAATTAGGGTTAGTACTTGTACCCACTTCATTCATAGTTCATCCATTCACGTTTCAGTTTTCTCAATTGGTTCGCGAACTATAGTGGCTCGTGAACCAGAGACGCGGATTACATAAAAAACTACGCGTGGATTACTCTGTCATGAATACAATTTGATATAATATCACATATAAAAAAGATAATGTCTAAAGTTGTCATTACCATTGTCGTCGCCAACACAGTAGTTTCAGATGCCAAATTGGTCTGCTGATTTGTTAATTGGGGTCTGACTACTGAATTTCATCTACCGAAAGGTAGGAAGGATGAGGAATTTCTAGTGGTTAAAATTAAAGATATATATTGATCGCAATCAATTGAACTATCACTTTGCCAGATGAACACGTGCGAACCCCCTTCTTGGGGGGCTGGCAGAAGACGCCTGCACGGGGGTGGGTTCGATCCCAGAACCTCTACTTGGGAAGTCCGATCTACTTGACTGGGCCACTTCGGGATTGAGGAATTTCTAGTGGGGTATTAAGAAATCAGGGAAAGCCACAAATTTTGAACTAAAAAAATATACCCATTAAAATCTGCCCGCCAAACCCTCCTCACCTTGGATGTTTCCAGGAAAACTTCCCGGGATCTACAGCCCTGGTCCCGATCTGACTGAAATGCCTTGTGTACACCCTGTTTCGCGCTAGCAGAGCATCTGGTTGCAGAACATGCGCTGGTTGTAGAACGTCACCACGTTTGAAATGGTCTTATCACCGACGGTACAAGCACATTCACAAGAAAGCGGTTAGCTAGGATGCTGCATGGTAAAGAACATTAACCAAGCGTTTCAAAGCGGTTTAAAAGGGTATACAGCGATAAAGAAAAATTTTGCCCCCAGTACCACTCCGTCAGCTGGTGCGGCTTTGCCCGCAGGTTTCAGCCATACGGTTTATGGCACCTGACCGCACTGTAGCAGCGAATCGCGCAAGGTGAGAGGGTCGAGAAACAGGGTGTAATAAAAAACTGCCAAATCCGTTAGGAAGCCGCGTTGTGAGGATTTGATCCAATAGTTGGATGGCTTTCCTTGTCAGGTCAGCAACAACACATGGCTAAGCTTGGCGACAAGCTAGACTGCCCCAAGCACAGTTCTGTGCAGACTGAGGTTGTCCCGCTTGGCGGCAAGTTGTGGACTGTCGTTACAAACCGACTTCGTCCTCTGCCTCGCGAGTACCTCACACAGAAGGGTCAAGCCGCGTCTCGCAGCAAATCAGGAGAGAGGCAAATGCACAACGCGATCTCGAGGCAGCATCGTCATTCGCAGGTGCCATATCAGCAGGCTCGCTGGCTGGCAAGTGCTTTCACGCCACTCGCCTGCTGAAATCCGAGCCAGTCACTCCGAAGCTGAAGTGCTGCTCCGGCTCTCTCGTTGGGGAAGCGAACCAAACCCTCTCTTTTGGGGCAAACCACATGATCACATCACACACATATGAACCACTCCATCCTCTGTCAGCATGCCATCGTACCTCCGTCGTGCACGCTGCATCCAAAGATTTGCTGGTGGCCAAGCGAGAGCGTGGTCGCAAGCATGAATGTCTTTTCCCAGCCAGTCCCAGACCTGCCAGGCAGGTATGCCTGCCATCCATTCTGATGTGGGTCTCCCCTTCACAGGAAACACGACCGACCTGCTCGCACGGAATGCTATGCAACCCCCCCCCCCCCATGGCCGTTGCGTTGAATCTTCAGCCGAGCTGAGCCAAGATGAGGCGAGCTCTGGCGGTGGTGGTGACCCCCCCCTCTACTGCTCCCTCTCTGCTCGTGCCTGTCCTTGAATCTCCGTCCAAAGTGCAGCATCGAAAGCGAGGGCGAAAGTGGTGGGCTAGGAAACTGCAGCATAGAGTCGAACCGCACCGTTTGACACACCTTGACGATCTACGCACAACAGAAAAAGCAAGCAGCAGCATCACTTTGGCAGGGTGCCGGTCGGTAATTGACGTAGGTGCGCAGAGTGAACGTTCATGCAGCACCACTCAAAAGAAAACAAGTTTTTGGAAGGATTTACTTTCCGAACGAGATCTGCCAGTTTCTTGTGGCCCTGGTCAGTCGAAGCATTGCTACATCGTACCGACGAGTAGACCTTTAACAGTCCAATCGTCCGTTCAATGACTCTTAAGAACAGCGATAGGTTCGTGGTAGCGTCGTGTCTCTGTTCCGTCCAAAGAGCGTTCTTTCCACCGAGCGCTGCTCATGCGTCATGATTCCCCACGGCCATCGATTGCCACCGCTCTCGTCCTGCTCGCCCCACTCGTCTCCATCTACCACCATGATCGACCCGCAATGGACACCTGATTCGTGCGCTTCCGCCCCCTCGAATGAGGTTCCGTGTGGGTTCGCGCCGCCAGCTTCCGCTCCCATGGACGCCGCGCTGCTCCAAGGCCTTCCTGGCGCCACCACCGATACTTTCACGGCGGTCTGCGTGGTTCCGTTCGCAGCGCCCCTCCTCGCCGCGTCGCGCCAATCCTCGGGTCTACCGTCGCCTGGTAAGAACGGTCCGATCGCGCCGTTCACAATCAGCGTCGTTCCGCAGACCGCCGCATCCCAGCGCGTCAACGGCGCAGCGCAGCTCGCAGCAGCTTCCGACGTGCTGCCGCTGTGGGCCGGCCCACTGCACGTGCTGGACGTCAGCACGCACGCAGCGCGAGCGCCGGGGGAGAGCTACGCGGTGCGGCCGCTGTTCGCGCTACTGGTCTCGTCCGACTCTAGCACGGGCGGCGGCGCTGCGCCTTGTGGTGGACAGGAAGAAGCGGACTGCGCTCTCGGACCGTCGGAGCGCCCGCTGATTGTGGCGGCAGCGGCGTCGGACGATGAATGGACGGCCATGGCGGAGGTGTGGAAGGGCGGCGAGGGCTGCGGTGCGGAGGCGGAGGGGGGGTGTGAGTGGGATCGCGTGGCGGCGGACGTGAAGGCGCAAGCGCAGCAGCTGCTGCGCGACTGCGGCCTCACAGGTCCCGCGCTCACCATCCCCGGCTCGCCACGCCACCGCCATCAACGCGCGCAACAGATCATTGCCGCCGCGCATCACCAATGGTGCTCGCTCTCCCCCGCCCCCCTCCCGCCTCCCCCTAGCGCGCGTCTCTCTTTCCCTCACCGTGCTGCTGCCCCACCCGCCGTCTCGCCGCGGTCGCCGCTCACCCCGTGCCCTGATAACGGCAGCGACGGGAGCAGCAAGGCCGGCGGGTGGGAGGGGTTCAAAAGCGGCAACGCGCAGGGGAGGAGCGGGATGAGCGGGAGGGCCGCTAGGACGCTGCTGCTGGCGGCGTGCTGCGCGGGGCTGGACGGGCGGCACCTCCGCACGCACAGCCTCGCCGCGGACCCGCTCGACTCCGCCGCCGGCGACCAGCCCTCGCCTCTCTCCGCCGTCCCCTCCGCCCTCCCCTCCCCCTGCGCCGTGTCTCCCCCGCCCATTCTGCAAGCACCCGGCAGTTTCCGCCGGCCGCCGGGATGCTCCATCGAGGTGCCCTCGTCGCCCGCCGCCGAGCCGGGGCGCGCGAGTCCGGGGCGCAGGCTGCGGAAGCTGCTGTCGCCTGTGTACAGCCTCGGGGGCAGCTGGTTCGCCGTGCCGCGTCTCTCCTCCGCCACCGCGCCGCTTCCCGCCTGCAGCGCGAATCCGATGACGAATCGTGGGTGCGTGGGGCGCGAGTCAGGGGCGGAGTTGAGGGGGCGCGACGAGGATTGGGGGAACGAGAACAGGGAAGAGGAGCAGGGCGGGGCGGCGGAACGGGGGGAGCGAGTGGAAGAGGGAGACGGAGGCGAGGCGCAGGTGACTGCGCGCGGGGAGGAGAAAGGGGAGGGGGAACGGGGCGAGAGTGAAGAGGAGGAAGAGGGGGAGGAGGAAGACGAGGGGGAGGGGGAGGGGCAAGACGGGCGCGAGTTGGCGCGCTCTCAGACGATGCGGTCGCTGCAGCGGTCGGCGTCGCGCCGATCCCAGCCGGGCGGGGCGCGCGGCGCAGGGCAGCGCAAGGGGAAAGCGGCGGCGAGAGGCGCGAAGGCGGGCGCGAAAGCATCGGCGCGGTTGGCAATGGCGCGCAGCGCGAGCTTCCGCGTGTACATTGAGACGGGGAAGGACGCCGCGGGCAGCAAGGGCAGGCAGGGGGACGGCGGGAAGGGTCGCGGTCTGTCGCGGCAGAACAGCGCCGTGGGGCGGAAGGCAGTACAGGAGGAGCGCGGCGTGCGGTACGTGCGCCAGGCCAGTCAGCGGGAGCGGGGGGGAGAGGCGCAAGGGCGAGGGGATGAGAACGAGGGGCCGCGGGATCAGAATGGCGGAGCGGAAGGGGAGGAGGAGGAGGAACCGGGATCGTTCAGGCGCGCGTACAGCGCTCCGAACGGCGAGCGCTCGCTGGCGCGCAGCAAGAGCATGCGGCGCGCGCAAGAGGGAGGCGAAACAGTCGTGGGGAGTGAACAACGCCGGGACAACGCGGTGGGGGCAGTTTCGGGAGACGAGGGGAAGGGCGGAGGGAGGGTAAGGGGCAGCGAGCGGGGCGAGGAGCGCAGCGGTGAGCGGCGTGGGGGGGAGGAGCAGGGCGAGCTGCAGCGGTCGCGCACTCTGCCCTCCAAACCCGCCCGCAGCGGGGGAGGCAGGGAGCAAGCGGCGGAGAAGGAAGAGGCGGAGTGGGGCAGTGAAGCACAACGAGAGGCTGAGAGGGCGGAAATGGAGGAAAGGGCGGAGCGGTTGCGGCGGCAGCTGCAGCAGCAAAAGCAGCGGCTGCAGCGGCAGAGCAGCGGGCAGCAGCAGGCGGCGCGCAGCGGTACAGACGAGCAGGCGGCGGGGCTGGCGAAGCGCGGGAGAGAGCTGCTGCGGCTGGCGTCGCTGCCGCGACAGCAGCAGCTCGACGCGCAGGCGGGAGGGCCGGCGCAGGTTGGGGGGGCGAGGCGGGGGGCGAAGCAGGTGGTGTCGGGGGCGACCCCCAAGCTGCGGCGCACGGGCCGAGACGGCAGCTTCCGCGTGTACCTCGACCTCAGCCCGCGCACCCCCCCCGCGCCCGCCGCTGCCGCTGAGGATAGCGCGTCCACGCAGGAAATGCGGCGCGCCGTGACGCACTCGGGAGCTTCGGAGCAGACGCGGGCTGGCGGCGTAGCGACGAGCGGGAGGCATCTGGACCGCGCGGCGAGCATGCAAGAGGGGGGGCTGCAGGCGCAGGCGGTAGGCAGCGCAGCGGGCAGGCAGCCGCAGATACGGCGCGCTGTGACGCACACGGGGACCGCGGAGGAGCGGGTGATGGGGGGAGGCGGCGCGGGGGCAGCGGAAAGGAGGCAAGCGGATGGAAACAGCATGGTGGTGCGGCGGGTGGAAGGGGAGCGCAGGGCGGAGGATGGGGAAGGCGGGGCGGAGGCGTTGCGCAAGGACGCGGGCGTGGTGGGCGGCGAGAGGGAGCGATTGGCAGCGGCTGCTGCTGCTGCGAGGCGCCGTGTGCTCGTTATTGACATCCCCGATAAGGGAGACCTCTACCCCGCCCCGCTCACCGCCCCTGCCAGCACCCTAGATCCCTCCCCCACCGCTGCCGCAACCCCCCCAGTTGCTGCCCCCTCCTCTGCGCGCGCTGCTCCCCGCGCGGCCCCCAGCGGGCAGGCGGGCAGCTGTGCGTTCCCTGACGGCAGCAGGCAGCGGGCTGTGGCAGGGGGGCGGGAGCGATGGGCAGGCAAGACGGCAGTTGCAGGGGCCTCACCCGCGTCAGCACGTGTCGTGCCCACGTCAGCTGCAATCACTCCTACGTCAGCTGCAATCACTCTCACGTCAGCTGCAATCACTCCCACATCAGCTGCTATTACTCCCACGTCAGCAGTGGTCACTCCGTCCTCAAGGGCCAGCAGCAAGCCGTCGCCCCGCCCCGCCACACTGCATGCGCCAGCCGTCCCCTCCCCTGGCCCTGCGCGCGCCCTGCTGGTCCCCCCCAGCCACACGGTCCCCAGCGGCCCCCCCGCTGCTGCGCCTCCCCCGCGCATCCAGCAAGCGCGGTCGCTGCCGCCCATCCGTGAGGGCGTGGCGCTGCACGGGCTGCTGCACGCCCACCAGCGCGCCGCCAGGGGACCCGCCTTCCCCCCTTCCTCTTCCGCCCCGCTGGGGGACGAGCGGATGGGAGCATGGGGAGGAGCGGATGGGGGGCAGGAGGAGGCGGAGATGCAGTGGCAGCAGCCGCAGCAGCAGCAGGGTCTGCGGGCGCAGCAAGGGTGGGTGCAAGAGGTGGTGGGCGGTGGCGAGCATGAGTGGCAGCAGTGGGCCGTGCCGCACCCCCATGCTCAGCAGCAGCAACAGGGCCAACTCTGCTACCCTCCTGATACCCAGGGGCAGATGTACCGGCAGCAGCAGCAGCAGCAGCAGAGCCAGCAGCAGTTTTACCAGCCAAAGCAGCAGGCGGGTTTCATCTCCCAGCGCTGGCACCAGCAGCAACAGCAGCAGTGGAGCGAGGGGCAGGCACCACAACCCTCGCTCATTCAGTCTCATTCCTTCAACCCCCAGCAACAGCCACAGCAGCGGCAGCAGCAGCAGTGGCAGCAGCAGCAGCCGCAGCAGGGTGAGTGGTCGCAACAGCAACAGCCAAAGCGGGTGTCATTCAAGCATGGCAATGAGCCTGCCTCCCATCTCGTGTCACAGCAGCTGCCCCGTGTCGGCACCACCCCCCACTACGCACCACCGCAGCATGCCAGCAACATGAGAGTCACTGGTCACAGCCAGCAGCGGCCTTTGCACGGCCCACACGCAGCCTCAGCACGTGCTCAGCCTGGTGTGCCCGCCAGCAGCCCGCGTGGAGGTGACGCCTCGCTCACCCGCCTGCTCTCGTGGAACGCCGGTTCCAACTCCTTCGCTGCCGCCGTCCACGCCTGACCCCCGTGACCGGTGTGGCTGCGCTCCCTGAGTTTCAAGATACCAGTAATCCTCCCTCCGAATAAAAATCCCAAATCTCTATTATACATGCATTGCAGGGCAGGGAGGGTCCGCGCGGCTTGTTTTCATTACCTATCCTCTTCAAATGGGTTTAGGAACCCGGTTCCCGCTTAGTCCCCAGTCAGTGAGTTGAAGGTTGCAGTGTAGAATATTTGTAGGACATTCATATTTTCTATGTTATTTCAATCGCCATATGTTGAGCCCGAGTATTCTGTTCAACAAAGGCAAAGGTTGAGTCCGATGTTGCACACTCTAGAGCTGCTGTTGAGCTTCACTGCTTTGAACAAAGTCTGACCCGCCTTATCGCAGAATGGTGGCAGGCGAGGACAAACGGCACCAGCACCTGGTTTTTGCCCCCTCCCATTCGATCAGGTGGGCCCTGCTGTTCGGTCTGCCCTGCTCTGTTGCCGCTGACTAACGGTTGCACGCATGGCGCAGCTGAAGAATTCCCATTCGCTCCTCTCCTGCCGCCATGTCCTCACAGATGGGGAGACGGAAATGTACGGGTCAGGCTCCTTCTCCAACCCGAATAGGTGTACAGTTCACACTTGAAACGGGTTACCAGCACAGAGACGCCTGGGTCAGGGTTCAGTTCAGGCTAGGTCCCGCCGCCTAACTAAAGACTGCCCTGCGGCTCGTCCTGGGATGGAAAACAAAATATATTGGCCCAAGTCCTTGTGAGCGACAGCTGGTTTTGCGGCCGGGAACAGCTGTCTGATAAGTGCTGGTATCAAACCATAAAAAGGGGGACTGAAATAAAAAAACTGCTACACCTGGAGCTCAGGTTATCTTCTGGTTGGGTGACAGCCCTGCCCTACCTGCTTGAGAAAGGCTGAACAGGTGAGGTTGGGGAAGGGAACGCGACAAACAATGATCGACGGTAGCACACGTATGCACGCAAGCAGGCGGGGCGCAGGATGATCAGTCAATTCTCTTCCCTTCCACACCGCCCTTGGTTGCACAACTCGCCCTGACCAGAGCCACTTTCACCTGTCTATGCAGCGTTCTCGTGATGCTTCAGAGCATTTGCTTCAGCTGGAAGTACATAACAGAATCAGCCAAGTGCTTTGGATGCGTTGTTTGGAACCTAAAATTTGTTCGAGAGAAGACGCGTTTGTTCTCTCAACCACGACTTCCCACGGCTGTCTGTCGCCTCGCCACGATGAATACTTGGAGCTGGCAGGACTCGCTTCGCCAAGCGGCCACCATTCGCACACTGCCGCACGCGTGGAAGGACCACTTTCTTCCGCAGCAGCAGCAACTCGACGCGCAACCACCGCAGCCGTCAGAAGCCTCTTTTGACAAGCTTCTGAATTCTTGCAACAGCAGCCCTGCGTTCTCGTCTCGCCTTGCTCTCCTCAACGGTGCCGCATGCGCGTCGCTGCCCGCGCTCGAACCACTGCCACGGGGCGCGGAACTGGTGTCGGTAAGGGCAAGTTACGACCAATTCTCCCCAGCCTCGTCGTTCAGCCTGTCAGCGGCGCACTGCCAGCCTCCCGTGCCCTCCCCGGCGAACGACGCAGAGCCTGCGGCTGAATTCATGCGAACGGACGAGACGCAGCAGGGGCAGAGGTGCGAGTGGGAGGGGGAATGGCGCGAGACGGACGAGTTGATGTCTCCGCGGAGCAGCACGGGCAGCTGCTGCGATCCCGACGACCTCGACTCGCTGCTGGAGGCGCCGCACGCCTTCGGTCAGCTTGCGTGGGAATCCGAATTCCATACTCAGTCGTCTCATTCTCGCAGCAGCTCCTGCGATCTCGCTCTGCCGCCCAGACATTCGCCGTCCGCTTCTAGCGACTCGCGCATCTGCATGGAACTGCTCGAATCAGCTAGCTCGTGCTTCGCTGCGAACCCACTTTTTCAACTGAGCTCCCAATGCGTGATTGACGGCGAGGGAATTCGCGAGTTGGTGGTGTGGTTACTCCAACAAGGCTCGGGTCATGAACACGACATGGCGGCGCAGCTGCAGCAACTCGCGGCGGTTCCGGCGGAATCAGAGGGGGGGGTGCAGGCCGGGGGGATTGCGGGTGTACAGGTGGACGAGCAGCTGAGCAACGCAATCCGGCAAGTGTTGCTGATGCAGGCAGCCTGCTAGGCCATTCCAGCAGTGGAACTCTCTTGATTAGTTCATTCTGTATATTGTAGAACGTACGTACAGATACCGTACGTGTGACGTCCAGTCACGTAGTTTTGTAAATGAGATGTTGCCAAAGCAACTGTGAATTATAGTGGCTTCAGATTGCACCGTAATATGCTCCCCAAACAGACCGTACCAGCACTGACTAGATACTTTTTACTCAGCAGTAATTGTTCCATACTGTTACGAGTGCAATTGAGTGAACGAACGAGAATTTCACTATATAAGCAAGAGTACAATGAGAGAAGGCATGAGCGAAGAATAAATAGCGAAACTACAGTGGTAACGGTAATGGACTGTGGTTGTCGCCAGGGCTGATTTTATCAGGGTAATTACCCTGATTTCAGGGTGATTTCAGACTTGTCACTTTCTGGACCCTGAGAAATCAGGTTTTTCACATTTTGGTTTCTGATCCATTCAGAGTATTGCTTTAGCGGACCCTGAAATTTTAGTGTATACTCTCAGCGTAGGGTTTCCACGGACCCTGTCAATACAGAGTACGAGGCCTGTGGACCCTGAATGCGATGTTATCGGGACGAAGATCGGGCGAATCTATAATGTCAGATATTGAGAAAGCTTGCTTTCTTTCTTATCAATTGGCATCGTTCTCATTACAAATGGCATCGTTCTCATTACAAATGGCGTATTACAACATTTGCATCATCGTTCGACATAAGCTAGTGCGGACTAATAACACTAGCTATTATGTACCCTATCCAAGTGGCATTAGCAAGGCGGTTTACACTGGGGTGGGTGGTGGGAATGTTGAGTGAGCCGTTTGAAAATTGAGAAACGTGGGTGGAGGGAAATGAGCTCCAACCCACGGTTTTTGTAGTTGGAGAAGGGCGTTTAGCGCGCTTCGACGATGCCAATTGTGCAGTACAAGCAGCTTCGCTTTCACAATACACAATTTTAAAAAACACTACATGTGTGTTTAAAAATTATAATATTGAGAAAGCTTGCTTTCTTTCTTATCAATTGGCATCGTTCTCATTACAAATGGGGTCTCTGAGACATGGGCAGCGGGGGCCTCCGGTTGCGTACGAGTGCCTCTATGTGTTGCGCCGATGACACCGCATGCGTCGAATCTTGTAGGGTACGGGAGGCTTCGATGAGGGGCTCGACGTATGGCGTAACATACATTTCCTTTGCTGTGTCGCTTCGCCATCTGCCCAGCCGTTTGAAGACTCTGTCTGGCACTCCCGTGTTGGCTGCTACTGTGGCTGCACCTTTTCGGAAAGAATGGGTGCCTAGCTGCAACTCTCCAAGGCCAACCTTTGCGAAGGCTTCCTTGCACCAGTTCCGGATCGTAGTGTATGAAGGTGGCCTAGCCTGGCCCTCGCTGGTTGAACTGTGACCGAAGACACGAATCAATGGTCCCTCTGTGAACACATCAGCCGTGTTGGCCCGAGTGGGCATGTGAGCGACACAAAGCTGACCACGCTACTGCAACTCTTGAGCAAGGAAGTAACGCAGAGCGATGTGCTTCGTTCTGTGCTCCATTCTGTGGTCCTAACACAAGGCAATGGCTGCCTTGTTGTTAACGTATAGAACTGGAGGAGAACAAGGCCTCTCTCCCAAGTCGGTCAGCAGATAGGTGAGCCAGCGTAGCTTCTGTGCGGCCAAGACTGTGGCGTAGATCTCAACCTCACAACTGGAGCTGAGAACAGAAGACGGACGTGTAGACCGCCAAGAAACAGAGCCAGAGCCAAAGCTAAACGTGTAACCTTGTGACGACCGCTGCGTAGCCAGATCGTCAACCCAAGAAGTGTTTGAGTGCCCAGTGAGGACAACTGAGCTCCGCCCTCCAAGCACGAGCCCCATGCCCGATGTACTGCACAAGTAGCGCATTACCTCTTTGCAGCATCCCAGTGCACCTTTCGGTGCCTACGAGGAGCCACGTAGCATGCCAGAAGGCCAAGAGGGTACGCAAGGTCAGGATGAGTGCAGGTCATCAGGTACATGAGGCAGCCCACTAGCTCTAGGTAAAGACCACTCGGCTCTACGGACTCGTCCAAAAGTGGAGCTGAGAGCGAGTGACCTGTAGCCAGAGGAGTTGCCTGTGCCAAGGACCAGGTGAGGCCGAAGTGCTGAAGGACCTGCTGCACCATGTGTGACTAAGTCAGCGTGATGGTGCGGCGTGCTCTGTCCCGGGTGATCTGCAAGCCAAGGTAGCTGCGCAGCTCACCAAGGTCTGTGCACGTGTGTCTCTTCTACAGCTCCGACTTCACTAGGAACACCAAGTCGTCGAAATACCCGAGGATGTAGAATGGCGGCAGAGAAGTGTCGGTGCGCAGAAACAGCGACGGGTCAGCAGTCGACGGAGCAAACCCAAGAGCCGCAAGTGTCGTCCTCAATGTGTCGTGCCACTCACGCGGCGCCTGGCGGAGACCGTAGAGTGGCCGCCGGAGGCTCCACTGGGTACCAGGAGGGAACGACCCAGTGAAGCCAGGTGGGCGGCGCAGCCAGATCTCCTCGTGCAGGCTGCCCTGTAAGAAGGCTGTGCTGAAGTCAAGAGAGTGAAGCTCGTAGCCACGCTGAGCGGCAACGTGCAGCAGCACCCGAAGAGTGGTCATCTTCGGGGTGGGGGAGAAGGTCTGGAAGAAGTCTACTCCCTCCCGCTGACTGAAGCCTCAAGCAAAGTAACGAGCCTTGAAGACAGGCGGAGAACCTGGCGGCCGCTTCACCCTGAAAATCCACATGCCATCGACGATGTTCGCCCCAGGAGGGGGAACCTCGTCGACGTAAGTACCTGTGGACTTCCAGGATGCCATCTCTGCGTCCATGGCTGTCTGCCACTGAGAGGAGTAGGGACCCGCGATCGCCTCAGCGTAAGAGCGCGGAGTCGGGATGTCTGGTGCATCCGAGTCTCCCTCACGTGCAAGCAGCATGGATTCGAGATGAGGCGCAGTGGATGCAAGACACTCAAGGTCCTCCTGCTTGTCCTCAAGGACGTCCGTGCCAAGAGCACACTCACCCCCAACGGACGGAGGACAGACAGACTCAGACTCAGCAACAAGACTAGCGGCGTAGTCTAGACGACAGGCAGCAGCAAAGTCAACAAGCTCAGCGACTAAGGCAGACGCAGCAGCAGACTCAAACGACGGGCCAGTGACAACTGTGGCTAGCAGACGCGTGATAGTAGGGTGAGCAGCACGAGCGCGGTCAGACTCATGCTCTGGAACGTAAGGCAGAGAAGACGCAGGAGGAGACGGCAGAGGAAACCGCTGTGGAGGAGAGGAAGGACGACGGACTACGAGGTGGGTGCCGGGGACAGCCGGCTGACGCGGATGAGGAACACGACGACCAGAACGGACAGGCAAGACAGGACGCGACGCAGGCTCACGACACTGAGTAAGACCCCCTGTCTACTCTGTGTAAGGAGAAGGAGCAGGTAGCGGTGAGCCAGGCTGTAACGGAAGACCTGTAGACGAAGGGAGACTAAGAACCTGGCGAAGCACAGAGTCAGGCAGTGGCTGAGATGACGGAGACGGTGTAGTGAAGAACAGGCGTGGCTGTGCAGTGCCACCAGCACCAGCAGCTCCAGTACCCCCAGCAGTTCCAGCACCTCCAGCAGCTCCAGAAGCCTCTGCGCCAGCTCCTCCAGGACCAGCTCCACCAGCAGCAACACCCCTAGAATTGGCACCTCCAGTCCCAGGGTCTCCAGCCTCAGTGTCTTCAGTAGCAGCACCCCCAGACCCAGGGTCTCCAGCAGTGGCACCCTCAGGCTCAGCACCTCCAGCCCCAGCAGCTCCAGTACCTCCAGCAGCAGAGCCCCGAGCTGGAGAAGCGCGACCCTGACGGCGACCGTACCAGTCGTGCAGCTGCTGTGAGGTGAGAGGCACACACGGACAAAGGCAGCTACTCGAAGGATACCTGGCAATAGCAGATTCAGAACCCTCAGGCGTCATACCTCCAGCGCCAGCACCCGCAACAGCTCCAGAACCTCCAGCTTCAGCGCCACCAGCGCCAGCATCTCCAACAGCGCCAGAACCTCCAGTGCCAGCACCTGCAGCAGCTCCAGAACCTCCAGCTCCAGCACCACCAGCAGTAGCACCCCCAGAGCCGGCACCTCTAGCTCCAGGGCCTCCAACCTCAGAGTCGACAGCAGCACCTCCAGGCTCAGCACGGCCTACAGTCCCAGCAGCTCCAGGAACTCCAGTAGAAACAACTCCAGTAGCAGAGTGACCAGCTCCAGCAGCGCGACCCTGGCGGCTAACGTAACACTCACGCAGCTGCTGTGGAGAGAGAGGGAGAAGACGACGAGAGTGCAGCGGCGAGGCACCAGCGGAGCGACTACGGAGACGGCCGCTCCAGGGAGACTGCTCACCAGACGCCTCAGCACCCCCAGATGTAGCACCCCCAGACTCAGTACCCCCAAGCTCAGCACCCCCAGGCTCCGCACCCCTTGGCTCAGCACCCCTAGAAGCAGTACCCCGAACGCTTAGCGGCAACGTGCAGCAGCACCCGAAGAGTGGTCATCTTTGGGGTGGGGGAGAAGGTCTGGAAGAAGTCAACTCTCTGTCGCTGACTGAATCCTCGTGCAACGTAACGAGCCTTGAAGACAAGCGGAGAACCCGTCGGCCGCTTCACCCTGAAAATCCACATGCTATCGACTACGTTCGCCCCAGGAGGGGGAACTGCGTCGACGTAAGTGCCTGTGGAGTTCCATGATGCCATATCTACGTCCATGGTTGTCTGCCACTGAGAGGAGTACTCACCCGCGATCCCCTCAGCGTAAGAGCAAGGGGTCGGGATGTCAGGAGCATCCGGGTCTCCCTCAGGGGCAAGCAGCATGGCCACGAGATGAGGCGCAGCGGCTGCAAGACACTCAAAGTCCTCCTACCTATCCTCAAGGACGTCCGTGCCAAGAGCACACTCACCCCCGACGGACGGAGGACACACAGACCCTGACTTAGCAACAAGACTAGCAGCGAAGTCGAGATGACAGGCAGCAGCAAAGTCAACAAGCTCAGAGACTAAGGCAGACGCAGCAGCAGACTCAAACGACGGGTCAGCGACAGCAGTGGCTAGCAGACGCATGATAGTAGGGTGAGCAGCACGAACAAGGTCAGATCAAGGGTTTTGAACGTCAGGCAGTGAAGATGCAGGAGGAGACGGTAGGGGAACACGCTGTAGAACAGAGGAAGGACGAAGTGCCATAGCGCGCGTGCCAGGGACAGGAGGCGGACGCTCACGAGGAACACGACTATCAGTGCGACGCGCGCGAACAGGCGAGGCAGGACGAGACGGAGGCTCACGACGCTCTGTAAGGGAGTCTGTCTGCTCAGTGTAAGGAGAAGGGGCAGGCAGTGGTGCGCCGGACTTTAACGGGAGGCCTGTAGAAGACGGGAGGCTAAGAACCTGGCGAAGCACGTAGACACGCGGTGGCAGAGACGACGGTGACAGGGGAGCCAAAAACAGTCGCGGCGGTGCAGTGCCACCAGTTCCAGTAGCTCTAGCGCCTCCAGCAGCTCCAGAACCTTCAGCAGCTCCAGAACCTCCAGCAGCAGCACCTCTAGCTCCAGTGACTCCAGTAGCAGCACCTCTAGCTCTAGCGCCTCCAGCAGCTCCAGAATCTCCAGCTCCAGCGCCTCTAGTAGCAGCACCTCCAGCTCTAGTGACTCCAGCAGCAACACCTCCAACTCCAGCGCCTCCAGCAGCTCCAGAACCTCCAGCTCCAGCACCTCCAGCAGCAGCACCTCCAGCTCCAGTGACTCCAACAGCAGCACCTCCAGCTCCAGCGCCTCCAGCAGCTCCAGAACCTCCAGCTCCAACGCCTCCAGTAGCAGCACCTCCAGCTCCAGTGACTACAGCATCAGCACCCCCAGCTCCAGCGCCTCCAGCGGCTCCAAAACCTCCAGCTCCAGCGCCACCACTATCAACACCCCCAGAACCGGCACCTCCAGCAACAGGGTCGTTAATGCCAGGGTCGACAGCACCAGCTCCAGGGCCTCCAGCCCTAGTACATCCAGCAGCAGCACCCCCAAAGCCGACACCTCCAGCTCGAGGAGCAGTCCCAGTCCCGGCAGCTCCAGTACCTCCAGTACGAGCACCTCCAGGACCAGAGACACCAGCACTCCCAGCGCCTCCACGACAAGCAGCTCCAGCAGCACGACTCCGCTGGCGGGTACGCGACGCAAGCCACTCTCGTGCCTGCTGTGGTGAGACAGGCCCGCGTCGTGAAACGAGACTCAGAGGAATGCCAACAGACTCAGCACCCCCCGACCCGGCACCCTCCGGCTCAGCACCCCCAGGCTCCGCACTCGTAGGCTCAGCACCCCCAGGCTCCGCACCCCCCAGCACCTCACGGACAGACTCAGCACCCCTAGACTCCGCAACCGCAAGCCCAGCACCCCAAGGCTCCGCACTCCTCAACACCTAACGCACAGGCTCAGCACCCCCAGACGCAGCACCCCCAGCAACACCTCCCGCAGCAGCAAATGAGTCGCTAGTGACCTCTACAAGCTCAGCCAAGGGGGGCGGGTCTACCTGAGACACACCCCAAGGAGCAGGACTTCGAGGGGGGAGGGGGTCTATCGGAGGGGGACCTGCAGTGAGGAAAAGCGGCGGGGGAGGGAGAGGGGCAGTGCGGTAGGGGAAGAGATGGTAGAAATGAACTGACTCGTCAAAGGTGACGTCCTGAGAGGGGAAGACACGGCGCGAGGTGGGGTGGTAAAACTGCCAGCCAGGCGCGTCAGGGACAAAGCCAAGGAAGACACAGGGAATGGTGCGGGAGGAGAGCTTGTCCGCGGACGTATCGCGCATAAGGGCACGAGCACCCCAGACCCGGAAATGCGACGCATCGCCAACCTCCCCCGTCCAATGCAGTGTGGGCGAGGTCTCTGGCAAGGAGACACGGGGCTAGAGGTTGAGCTGCTGCGCGGCGTAACGGACCGCAAACGACCACAGAAAATGGGGAGCCGTCGCATGGATCAAGGAGGTATGAGCGACCTCCACGACTAAGCCAATGCGGCGCTCAGCAAACCCATTTTGCTGCACTGAGCCCAGAAGCGTGAACGACTGCTTCATGCCCTCCCCCTGATAGAAGGCCCGCAAGAGGTCGGAGGAGAACTCACCACCTCTATCAGAGTGCAGACGCAAGATAGGCAGGTCCTGGCGGAACCTGCGGCGGAGCCGGAGACGAACTGCTCGGATCCAAGGGATCTGGACAGCAGGGACCTCACCCTTGGTGCGCAAGGGGAAGATCGTGGTGTAATGCGAGTAGTCGTCGACAACCAGCAGAAAGTACCGCTCACCGCCCTGACCACGAACGCGGGCTAAACCCCACACGTCCAGGTGGAGGGTCTGCAGAGGAGCCTCTGTAGGGGGAAACGAGGAGGAGTGAGGAGCGGAGTGCTGCCGCCCCTCGACGCAAGGAAGGTAGGGCGGCGCAGGCGAGGCAGGGAGGGGAGGGAGAGACCTAGGAAGACCAGACACAAGGAGGCGACGGTGCATACCACGGAGACGTGGTAAGGAGGGGTGACCCAGGCGGTGGTGCCAGAGAAGAGTCTGGTGCGACAAGGAGCGACGCTCACAAGGGGAGGCTACCTGACCTGACGCAGACACCTGACCGATAGCAGCTACCTGAGGAGACACAGTCGTCGGTGTGTAAAGACTCGACCCTGGCTGACGGGCGAACGTGGCCAGGTGACGGCCAGTCATGGAGCACGTACAGATCGCCACACGCTGTCCTCCGGGGGAAAAGGTGTCAACCCAATGATCTTGGATGACGGCATTGCTCACCAAGTTCGTCGAGAACGAGGGGAGGTGGAGACCTGACAGTGAGCCAGACGGAACCGCCGGGCACCGAAGCACAGTGGTGGACCTGGCAAGAACTGGACCCCCTGAGGGGTCAGCTAGAGTGACTGCAACAGGTGCAAGGAGTGGTGTGAGTGCGGTACTATCACGAAAGAAGCAGCGGAAAGCACCTGAGTGAAGCGTGAAGGTGTGCAAGGCCTCATCAGGCGTAGTACTTGAGAGAGCAGACTCGCTCGCAACTAAGGTTGCCACCTCACCAGCACCTAGAGTACTAGCCTCTATACCAGGGTCAGGCAGCACACACAAGTAACAGTCCCCATCAGCACTAATCTCCAATGCATACATGGTAGAAATAATAGCATCATAATCAAGAACAAAAATGTCTACACCAACCCTAAGCAACTCAAACCAGCGAGGGCGCTCAGCGTCCTCGCCCATCTCCTCATGCCAGGCGTCATCAAGGCGGGAGAAGCAGCGGTGCTAGGTGTGGAACTTCCCGCATGTCTGACCCTTGCAGTCACCTGTGCAAATGACATACGGGCAGCGATCACCACCCCCAGACCTCCCACGCTGAGCAAGCCACTCACGAAGCTGCTGGGTCGTCTGGGGACTCTGCTGCTGCTGCTGCCTCTGACCAGCCCCCGTGCCTCCACCCCGACCGCCACCTCCACCGCCACCACCTCCCCGGCCGCCACCGCTGCTGCCACTGCCGCCGCCACCGCCGCTGCCACCCCCTCTGCCACCACCGCCTCCACCGCCACTACCGACGCTACCAGTCCCGCCAGCACTCCCGCCGCCACTCCCCCCGCCACCTCCTCCTCCTCCACCGCCTCCACCACCACCCCGCCCGGTGTCACCTCCGCTACTCTTGGCTCCCTTGCCCTTACCGCTTCGGCGCCTCCCACTAGGAGCAGAAGCAGCACCAACAGACTCAGCACCAAGGTAGTCAACAGTAGCGGCAGTAGCGTAGGAGGGGGCAAGGGGAGAGGGAGAGCACCCCTCAAAGATGGGGGTGCGAGGAGCGCCACGAGAAGCACCTAGAGCGACAATGCTCTTCTCTGCTGCAAGGAGGTGCTCCTCTAGGAGGACGACAAGGAGTTCGGTGGGACGGCGAGCGAGAAAGTGGTCCCTGAGCGAGCTAAGAGATCTGTACTTACTGACTACTGCCCCCCCTCAGGTCGCTGCGTCTGCGTCTGCGTCCGCGTCAGGTCAGCTGTCCGCCCCCTGCTCGTGTCGCTCTCTAGCGCACGAGACTGTCCTCTGGCACCACCGACTGGGCCACCCGTCTGTGCAGCGCCTTCGTGCCATGCACTCCCGGTACCTTGTCTCTGGTCTTCCCAGGGTCCTCCCTCCCCTCCCACCCTCGCCAGCTCCTCCCTGTCTTCCCTGTGTCGAGGGGCGGCAACGCGCCGCTCCTCACTCCTCCTCGTTTCCCCCGACGACTGCTCCTTTGCAGACGCTCCACATGGACGTGTGGGGCCCAGCCCGCGTCCGTGGTCAGGGTCAGGAGAGGTACTTCCTGATCGTTGTAGACGACTACTCGCGCTACACCACGGTCTTCCCCTTGCGAGCCAAGGGTGAGGTCCCTGATGTTTTGATCCCTTGGATCCGCAGAGCTCGTCTCCAGCTCAGCGAGCGTTTCCGCTCGGACTTTCCTGTCCTGCGCTTGCACTCTGACAGAGGTGGTGAGTTCTCCTCCGACCTCTTGGCAGCCTACTGTGCTGAGCACGGCATTGAGCAGTCGTTCACGCTTCCGGCCTCTCCACAGCAGAATGGGGTTGCGGAGCGCCGCATTGGCCTGGTCATGGAGGTCGCTCGTACCTCCTTGATCCATGCGGCTGCCCCCCACTTTCTGTGGCCGTTTGCGGTCCGGTACGCTGCGCATCAGCTCAACCTCTGGCCCCGTGTCTCCTTGCCGGAGACCTCGCCCACACTGCTGTGGACGGGGGAGGTTGGCGATGCGTCACGTTTCCGGGTCTGGGGATCTCGAGCTTTTGTCCGCGATTCGTCTGCGGACAAGCTCTCCTCTCGTGCTGTTCCCTGCGTCTTCCTCGGCTTTGTTCCGGACGCGCCTGGTTGGCAGTTTTACCACGCCACCTCGCGCCGGGTCTTGCCCTCTCAGGACGTCACTTTTGACGAGTCTGTCCCCTACTACCGCCTCTTTCCCTACCGCACTGCCCCGCTCCCACCCCCGCCTCTCTTCCTCGCGCCAGGTGCTGCTGTCGTAGACCCCCTCCCCCCTCAAGGTGCCGCTCCCTCAGGTGTGTCTCAGGTAGACCCGGTCGAGCCTGTTGAGGTTGCTGTCGACTCTCGTCCTGCTGGGGGTGCTGAGCCTGGGGGTGCGGAGACTGGGGGTGCTGAGCCTGGGGGTGCTGACTCTGGGGGTGCTGAGCCTGGGGGTGCGGACTCTGGGGGTGCTGAGCCTGGGGGTGCGGACACTGGGGGTACTGAGCCTGGGGGTGCTGAGCCTGGGGGTGCGGTGACCGGGGGTGCTGAGCCTTGCGGTGCTGGGCCTGAGGGTGCTACACCTGGACGCGACCTCTCCTCGGAGCAGTTGCGTGAGTGGTACTTACAGGTTTGCAGCCTCCGGGGTGTTACCTCTGGGACCAGGCGCACTACAGGGACTGGGGCTGGTACTTCTCCTCCTAGTCGGGAGCTCCCCTCTCGTGAGCGGATCCGTAAGTGGTACGAGCGCCGTTGCACACTTCGGAGTGGTGCGCCTCGTCTCACGGACCCGGCTGCCCCTCGTGCTACGGACCCGGGCGTTGGAGCTGCTGCTGATGCTGCGGACCCTGGCGTTGGAGCTGCTGCTGGTGCTGCGGACCCGAGGGTTGGAGGTGCTGCTGGTGCTGAGGACCTGGGCGTTGGGGCTGAGGCTGGTGCTGCGGACCCTGGCGTTGGAGCTGCGACTGGTGCTGTGGACCCTGGTGTCGGAGTCCCTACTGGTGCTGAGGACCCGGGCGTTGGAGCTGCGGCAGGTGCTGTGGACCCTGGTGTTGGAGCCTCTGCTGGTGCTGAGGACTCGGGCGTTGGTGCTGAGGCTAGTACTGAGGACCTGGGCGTTGGAGCTGCTGCTGGTTCTGGTACTGCCGCTGGGGGTACAGGTGCTGTCCCTGCTGTGTCTGGAGTCGCCGCGCGCCCTCAGCCGTACTTCGTTCCGCTCCTTCAGCAGGTTCTTGGTCTCTCGCCTCCTCCTGGTCCTCCTCCCTTAGCGTGTTCACAGCCTGTCCCGTCACAGTTACAGTTGCAGCCGGCCTCCCCACTACCTGCTCCTTCTCCTTACACTGGTCCTACTGGCGGTCTTACTGAGCGTCGTGAGTCTGCGTCTCGTCCTGCGTCGCCTGTCAGTCCTGCTAGCGCTAGTGCTCGTAGTTCGCGCCAGCGTCCTCCCCCTGCCCCTGGCACGCACCGGATGTCTCTACGTCCGTCTACTGCTCCTCTGCGTGCCCCTTTGCCTTCTCCTCCTGCGTCCTCTCTTCCTGCTTTCGCCGACCCTGAGTCGGACTCTCTTCGTGCTGCCAGTCCTACTGTCACGCGCCTCCTTGCTACTGTTGTCACTGACCCTTCTTTCGAGTCTACTGCTGCGTCTGCTCTCGTTACTGAGCTCGTCGACTTTGCTGCTCGCTGTTGCTTAGACTACGCTGCTAGTCTTGTCGCTGAGTCTGAGTCTGTCTGTCCTCCGTCCGTCGGGGGTGAGTGTGCCCTTGGCACGGACGTCCTTGAGGACAGGCAGGAGGAGTTCCAGTGTCTGGCAGCTGCTTCACCTCATCTCGTGTCCGTACTGCTTACCCCTGAGGGAGACCCGGATGCACTTGACATCCCGACTCCGCGCTCTTACGCGGAGGCGATATAGGGTCCCTACTCCTCTCAGTGGCAGGCACCTATGGATGCAGAGATGGCTTCCTGGAAGTCCACAGGCACCTACGTTGACGCTGTCCCCCCTCCTGGGGCGAACATCGTCAGTGGCATGTGGATCTTCAGGGTGAAGCGGCCGCCGGGTTCTCCGCCTGTCTTCAAGGCGCGTTACGTGGCTCGTGGCTTCAGTCAGCGACAGGGAGTTGACTACTTTCAGACCTTCTCCCCCACCCCGAAGATGACCACTCTTCGGGTACTGCTGCACGTTGCTGCTCACCGGGACTACGAGCTGCACTCTCTCGACTTCAGCACAGCTTTCCTGCAGGGCAGCCTGCACGAGGAGATCTGGCTGCGCCGCCCACCTGGCTTCACTGGGTCTTTCCCTCCTGGTACCCAATGGAGTCTCCGGCGTCCAGTCTACGGTCTCCGCCAGGCGCCACGTGAGCTTGTTGGCTGCCTCATGTACCTGATGACCTGCACACGACCTGACCTTGCATACCCTCTTAGCATTCTTGCACGCTATGTTGCTCCTGGGAGACACCGTCCAGAGCACATGGCTGCAGCGAAGAGGGTGTTGCGCTACTTGTGCAGTACGTCGGGCATGGGGCTAGTGCTTGGAGGGCGGAGTCCAGTGGTCCTCACTGGACACGCAGATGCTTCTTGGGCTGACGACCAGGCTACGCAGCGGTCGTCACAGGGTTACACCTTCAGCCTTGGTTCTGGCTCTGTTTCGTGGCGGGCTACTCGCTCGTCTTCTGTTCTTGGCTCCAGTTGTGAGGCTGAGATCTACGCAGGGGCCATGGCTGCTCAGGAGCTTCGCTGGCTCACCTACCTGCTGACCGACCTTGGAGAGCCGCCTCGTTCTCCTCCAGTCCTGTACGTCGACAACAAGGCCATGCTGGCCTTGTGTCGAGAGCAGAGACTGGAGCACAGAACAAAGCACATTGCTCTCCGCTACTTCCTTGCTCGTGAGCTACAGCAGCGTGGTCAGTTGCGACTTGCGTACGTGGCCTCTGAGGCCAACACTGCTGATGTCTTCACCAAGGCACTTCCGCCTTGTGATCATCAGCGCTGCTGTACCTAGCTGGGTCTTGTGTCTGTCTTGCCTCACTTGCTCTCCTCTTGACCCTCTTTGTACTGTTACATATATATATCACTGCTCTTGCTTATTTAGTCTTATATATATATCTGTACTCCTTCATGTGAACTGGCCTTGTGGCCTTGCACTTGTGCTTGGATTGTGTGGTGACGTTGTGATCCACCCTGAGCTTTTTTGCTTTACTTGACTGGTCTTGTGACCCCTAGTTCTCCCCCACTTCGCCTATGGGGGTGTGTCAAACATTATATATGTTGTTGTAGTTGTTTAGGCTACAGTGGGTTAGCCTATAGGGGGTACACATTCCTAGGTTTTGATACTTGTACTCATTTCACTCTTAGTTCATTCATTCTTGTTCAACAAGAAAGTGGTCCCTGAGCGAGCTAAGAGAGTCAGGGAGACGGGTGACTATGAAGTGGAGGGTCCAGTACATCGGAGGCGGGTGCTTATCATATAACTCTTTCGAGAGGGCGGCGCGCGGGCGGGTGTCGCTAGTGCGAAGGTGGGTAATGAGATCGGCAACTGTGGCAAAGGTGGATAGCTCAGGAAACAGGTAGTGCAGCATGAGGCGACTAAGCTCACCTTTGGCACGGGAGGAGTATCAAGCAACTACAGCGTTGTACAGGGTCTTGGCAGTCTTGTACTCGCCAAAATGCGTGAGCTCGGCTAACGGAAGGTGATTGCAAACGGCTAGGCGCACAGCAGCATCACGGGTCTGCCACTGGGAACGGGCGCTAAGCTCTGCGGTGGCAGTGGGAGCGACTGAGGCACCAGACGTGTGGTCATAGAGTGAGACATTGTCCTTGCTATCGCTCATTAGGAGCAGCTGCATGTCATCTAGCCAGGTTTTGAACTGAATCGGGCGGCCCTCGGCATCGAGCGACAAAACTCAGAGGTTGGCCATAGCGGCTGGCGCAGGACTAGCAGGGCAGAGCGATTGCAGGCAAGTAGCAGTAGCAGCAACAGTAGCACTAGTAGCAGTGCAGCAGTAGAAACCGGTCTGCCAGGCAGCTAGGCAGCGCGGCGCGGTTCAGCAGTGCAGCGCAGCTCGGGCAGTGCAGCGCGGCTAGGGCACGGTGGGGCAGTGCAGCGCTGGCAGCAGCAGTGGCAGCCGCGGCAGGGGCTACAGGCGGCCAGCATGGCTGCAGGGCAGGCCACACGCATGGCGTAGTGGGCGGCTGCAGTAGCAAGGCGGGCGGTGCGTAGGCGCAGCAGGCAGCCGCGGCAGTAGGGCAGGCGGTGCACGGGGCGACGAGCGGCTGGCAGAGTAGCAGGGCGGGCGGCGCACGGGGCGACGAGTGGCCAGTAGAGTAGCAGGGCGGGCGGTGCACGGGGTTGCGGGGCAGCGCTATGAGCGGCGCCTGGGGCTACGGGCGGCCTACGGGGCTGCTGGCGAGCGGCGCGCGGGCCGGCAGGAGCTGCGCGCGGGCTGCGCGGACAGCCAGGGGCCCCTGCAGCTGCCTCCGACGTAGTTTTGCGGGGCCCCTGCAGCTGCCGATGACTGCATCCCTCGCGCCTGAACGCCGCCGACTTCATCGGCGTGAATCAAACCTCGTTGCCTCGACGTGCCTCCCGCGATGCTACCAACTTGGTCACCCGCGGCGTTGACTCCCGCGTCGACGCCGCCTGCGTTGTTCACTAGTCGAGGAGATGCAGGCCGAGAAGGGGGGTGCTCCGCCGCCCACAAGGCGCGGATGCCAGCCTCGACGGCCGTCAGCGGGAGAGTTCCGTGTCAGAACATTTTAGCTTATACATTTGTGTAGGTTGTAGTGGGGTAGCCCATAAGGGGTACAACCCAATTAGGGTTAGTACTTGTACCCAACTCTTTCATAGTTCAATCATTCTCGTTTCTCATCATGGTATCGAGCAGGTTCCCTAGTGGGAATGCTGCCTAGGGCCCACCACGATTTTTTTTCCTTGCCCGGAGCACGCTTCACTCCTGCCCGAGTCGCGCTTTGTGTGCCATACCTACCCTCGAGCCGCCCTTAGTGGCCCCTCTCACGGCCCCTTTGGCTGCCCTTACCGCCCCTCGCGCCGTCCTATACGGCCCCTCGCGCCGCCCTTACGGCCCCTTACGGCCCCCTAAGGCCCCTCGCGCCGCCCTCTAAGGCCCCTCGCGCCGCCCTTACGGCCCCTTATGGCCCCGCCTAGGCCCCTTACGGCCCCTCCGCGGCCCCGTCTAGGCCCCTTGCGGCCCCGTCTAGGCCCCTCCGCGGCCCCGTCTAGGCCCCTTACGGCCCCGTCTAGGCCCCTTACGGCCCCGTCTAGGCCCCTCCGCGGCCCCGTCTAGGCCCCTTTCGGCCCCTTTCATCCCCATCTAGGCCCCTCCGCGGCCCCGTCTAGGCCCCTTACGGCCCCGTCTAGGCCCCTCCGCGGCCCCGTCTAGGCCCCCTTTTCGGCCCCGTCTAGGCCCCTCCGCGGCCCCGTCTAGGCCCCCTTTCGGCCCCGTCTAGGCCCCTTTCGGCCCCGGCTAGGCCCCTTTCGGCCCCTCTCGGCCCTGTCTAGGCCCTTCCGCGACCCCGTCGCCGCCGCCTGCGGCCCCGTCGCCGCCACCTGCGGCCCCGTCGCCGCCTCCTACAGCCACACCGCCACCACCTGCGGCCCCGCCGCCACCTTCGGCCCCGTCGCCGCCACCTACGGCCCTGTCGCCGTCACCCGCGGCCCCGTCGCCCTCCCCTCGCGGCCCTATCTCCGCTCCGCCGCCCAGCGACCGAGCCGCCGAGCAGCACAGCACCCGAGCCGCCCACCTACCGAGCAGCCGAGCCGCCCAGCAGCCGAGCCGCCCAGCAGCCGAGCCGCCGAGCAGCCGAGCCGCCCAGCAGCCGAGCCGCCTAGCAGCCGAGCCGCCCAGCAGCCGAGCCGCCCAACAGTCGAGCCGCCCAGAAGCCGAGCCGCCCGGCAGCTGAGCCGCCCAGCAGCCGAGCCGCCCTGCCGCCGAGCCGCCGAGCCGTCGAGCCTCCCTACTGTCTAGCAGCTGCTGTTCCTACCGGTGCTCCCGGCTCCTCCTTCCTCGGACTGGTGAGCTCACTTCCTCCTAGGCCACTACAGTCATGGCTACCCCCAGTGTCCTCACTTTTGATGCTGAGGGTCGTGCCGTTGACTTTGAGGTCTGGGTCGATGACCTCCAGCTGTTTCTTTAGTGCGATAGGGCAGACAGACTCTCTCTGTTCGATCTCACCTCTGGTGTCTCTCCTGCCCCGCCTGCTACTGCTGACAGCACTGTTCGCTCACAGTGGGCCACACGCGATGCTGCTGCTCGCCTTGCTTTTCGTCGCCACTTACCGACCACTGAGCGTGCACACTTTAGCCAGTACAAGAGTGCTCAGACCTTGTACGACGCTGTAGTTGCACGCTACTCTTCCCCTGCCACTGCTGCACTGAGCCGCCTCATGCTACCGTACCTCTTCCCTGACCTTGCTGCCTTTCCCACAGTCGCTGACCTCATTACACACCTCCGCACTAGTGACACTCGCTACCGCGCTGCGCTTCCTGCTCAATTCTGCGCCCAGAACCCCCCCCCCCCATGTACATCACCCTCTACTACATAGTCACCCGGCTCCCTGACTCTCTCCGCGTAGTCAGGGACCACTTCCTCTCCGTTTGCCCCACCACTCTCACCGTTGACCTCCTCGAGAAGGCCCTCCTAGCGATAGAGAAGAGCATAGTTGCTGTAGGAGCCTCTTGTGGTGACCCTCGCACCCCCGTCTTTGAGGGGTGTTCTCCCTCCCCCCTCTTGCCCTCTGTTGCCTCTGCTGCTGCGGCCAACCTCGTTGGCTTTGACTCGGTCGGCGCTATGTCTGCCCCGAGCGGGAGACCCCGCACCAGCAAGGGCAAGGGGGGAAAGGGCACTGGAGGGGCTGGAGGGGGCGGTGGAGGTGGTGGTGGAGGCAGTGGAGGGAGTGGGGGTGGTGGTGGGAGTGGTGCCAGGGGTGGCGGCGGCAGCGGCAGCAGTGGAGGCGGTGGAGGCGGTGGTGGTGGCGGAGGGAGCGGAGGCGGCGGAGGGAGCGGAGGCGGCGGAGGTAGTGGAGGAGGCGGAGGTGGAGGAGGAGGCGGGAGTGGAGGAGGCGGCGGCAGCGGTGGTGGAGCGGGTCGCAACTCTGCGCAGAGGAGTGGCTAAGGTGGTGGTCCGCGCCAGCAGCAGCGGAGTGGTGTGACCCTGTCCCCTCAGCAGCTTCGTGAGTGGTACACTGCGCGTCAGCGCGGTGGGGGTTTCGGTCCCTGCACTTACGTCCTCCGTACCGGCGACCGAGCTGGTGAGCAGTGCGGAGGCCCGCACTCCACCCAGCGCTGCTTCGGTCGCCTGACAGACGCGTGGCGTCGCCAGTTCCCTGAGGCGTCAGAGATCCCTTGCTGGGGAGATCTGTCTAAGGCGGGGTAACATACTTTGATCTTGATTTTGATGCTATTCTTGCTGCCATGTATGCTGTTGATACTAGTGTTGCGGGTGACTGTTACCTGTGTGTACCGCCTGACCCGGGCATTGAGGCCGCTGCTCTAGGTACTGGTGAGGCTGCTGCTCTAGGTGCTAGTGCGTCTGCTGCCCCAGGGGCTAGTGCGTCTAATGCCCCAGGTGCTGGTGAGTCTGCTCTCTCAGGTACTACGTCGGCTCAGGCCTTCCACACCTTCACCCTTGACTCGGGTGCGTCCCGCTCCTTCTTTTGAGACCGCACCACTCTTACGCCGCTCAATCGGCCGGTTGCAGTCTCCCTGGCAGACCCCTCTGGGGGTCCTGTCCTTGCTAGCTTCTCCACTCTCTTACCGTGCCCGGCAGCCCCCTCTGGCACCCTGTCAGGTCTCTACCTCCCCTCGTTCTCTACGAACTTGGTGAGTGGAGTGGACCTACAGGATAGGGGGGTTGACCAGTTCACTCCTGCGAGTCAGCAAGTGACCCACTGCACGTGTGCTCGGACAGGCCGACACTTGGCCACGTTCACCCGTCGGCCAGGGTCGAGCTTGTACACCCTTACTACTGAGTCCCCTCCGGCTGCTGAGTCTGGTCAGGTATCTGCGTCGAGTCAGGTGTTTGCTGCGGCGTCCAGGTCTGGCCCTGAGTGTGCTCCCTGCTCGTGCCGTCTCCTGTCCGACCAGACTCTCCTTTGGCACCACCGCCTTGGTCACCACTCCTTGCCTCGTCTCCGAGGCATGGCCTCCCGTGTCCTTGTCTCTAGTCTCCCTCGGTCTCTCCCTCCCCTTCCTCCGGGGCCTGGCCCTACCTGCGTCCCCTGCGTCGAGGGGCGACAGCGCGCCGCCCCTCACTCCTCCGAGTTTCCTCCGACAGAGGCTCCGCTTCAGACTCTCCACATGGACGTGTGGGGCCCAGCCCGCGTCAGTGGGCAGGGGCGCGAGCGGTACTTCCTGCTGGTGGTTGAGGACTACTCGCTTTACACCGCAGTCTTCCCCTTGCGCAGCAAGGGTGACGTCACTGAGGTGTTGATCGACTGGATCTGCGCAGCTCGTCTCCAGCTTAGAGAGAGTTTCGGCTCGGACTTTCCTGTTCTGCGTCTGCACTCGGACAGAGGCGGGGAGTTTTCCTCTGCCCGTCTGGGAGCCTTCTATCGTGCACAGGGCATCCGCCAGACCTTCACGCTTCCGGCCTCTCCACAGCAAAATGGGATTGCTGAGCGCCGCATTGGCATGGTCATGGACGTCGCTCGTACGTCCATGATGCATGCGGCTGCCCCCCATTTTCTGTGGCCGTTTGCGGTTCAGTACGCCGCACATCAGCTCAACCTTCAGCCCCGGGTCTCCTTGCCAGAGACCTCCCCCGCCTCGCGGTGGACCGGGAAGGTTGGCGATGCGTTTGCGTTTCGGGTCTGGGGATCTCGGGCGTTTGTCCGCGACTTGTCTGCGGACAAGCTGTCCCCCCGTGCTGTTCCCTGCGTCTTCCTTGGCTTCCCCCCTGACGCGCCTGGGTGGCAGTTTTACCACCCCACCTCGCGCCGTGTTCTGTCCTCCCAGGACGTCACCTTTGACGAGTCGGTGCCTTACTACCGTCTCTTCCCCTACCGCACTGCGCCTCTCCCCCCGCCGCCACTCTTCCTTGCACCAGGTCCTCCCCCGGTAGACCCCCTCCCCCCTCAGGGTCCTGCCCCGTCAGGTGTGTCCCAGGTAGACGCAGTCGAGCCTGTCGAGGTAGCTGTTGGCTCTAGTGCTGCTAGAGGTGCTGGCCTGCAGGTGCCGGGTCTGGGGGTGCTGAGTCTGGGGGTGCTGAGACTGGGGGTGCTGAGTCTGGGGGTGCTGGGTCTGGGGGTGCTGAGCCTGGGGGTGCTGAGCCTGGGGGTGCGGAGCCTGGGGGCGCTTGGTCTGCTCGTGTGGCCGCCGGCGGTGCTTCGTCGAGGCGGGAGCCGCTCTCTCCACAGGGGCTGCGCGAGTGGTTTGCCCACCGCTGGAGACGTGCTGCTGAGACTGGGGGTGCTGCTGGGGCTACTGGAGTTGGTCCTACTGGAGCTGCTAGGGGTGTTGGCGCTGGTGTTTCTACTGGCGCCGGTGCGTCTGGGGGTGCTGCTGAGGCTGCTGGAGCTGACGGTCCTATTGGAGTTGGTGCTGCTGGAGCTGGAGCTACTGAGGGTGTTGGCCCTGGTGTTTCTCCTGGCACCGGTGCGTCTAGGGGTGCTGCAGAGGCTACTGGAGCTGACGTTCCTACCGGAGTTGGCGCTGGTGGTGCTGCTGGCGCTGGTGCTTCTGAGGGTGCTGGAGTTGGCGCTGGTGGAGCTGGAGATGCTGCTGGCGCTGGTGCTGCTGCTGGGGGTACTAGTGCTGTCCCTGCTGGTTCTGGAGGCGCTACGCGGCCGAGGCCGTACTTCGTTCCGCTCCTGGAGCAGGTTCTTGGTCTCCCGCCCTCTACTGGTCCTGCTCCTCCCTTAGAGTGTCCTCAGCCTGTCCAGACGCAGTCACAGCTACAGCCCGCCTCCCCTCTCCCTGCTCCTTCTCCCTACACTGGTCCTACTGGAGGTCTTGCTGAGCGTCGTGAGCCTGTGTCTCGTCCTGCGTCGCCTGTTCGTGCTGCTCGCACTAGTGGTCGTGCTGCGCGTCCGCGTCCTCCTGCGGTCCCCGGCACACACCAGATGGCACTGCGTCCTTCCACTGCTCCTCTGCGTGCCCCGTTGCCGTCTCCTCAAGAGTCCTCTCTTCCTTTCCTTGCTGACCCGGAGTCTGACTCCCTTCGTGCTGCTAGTCCTTCGGTCACGCGCCTTCTTGCTACTGTTGTTACTGACCCTTCCTTTGAGTCCACTGCTGCGTCTGCCTTGGTTGCTGAGCTTGTCGACTTTGCAGCTCGCTGTCGTCTAGACTACGCTGCTAGTCTTGTTGCTGAGTCTGAGTCTGTCTGTCCTCCGTCCGTCGGGGGTGAGTGTGCTCTTAGCACGGACGTCCTTGAGGACAGGCAGGAGGAGTTCCAGTGTTTTGCTACTGCTTTGCCCCATCTCGTGTCCACGCTGATTGCCCCTGAGGGAGACCCGGATGCACCAGACATCCCGACTCCTCGATCGTACGCTGAGGCGATTGAGGGTCCCTACTCCTCTCAGTGGCAGTCAGCCATGGACGCAGAGATGGCTTCCTGGAAGTTCACAGGCACCTACGTCGACGAGGTTCCCCAACCTGGGGCGAACATTGTCAGTGGCATGTGGATTTTCAGGGTGAAGCGGCCGCCGGGTTCTCCGCCTGTCTTCAAGGCGCGTTACGTGGCTTGAGGTTTCAGTCAGCGGCAAGGAGTTGACTACTTTCAAACCTTCTCTCCCACCCCGAAAATGACCACTCTTCGGGTGCTGCTGCACATAGCCGCTCAGCGCGACTACGAGCTTCACTCTCTTGACTTCAGCACACCTTTCCTGCAGGGCAGCCTGCACGAGGAGATCTGGCTGCGCCACCCACCTGGCTTCACTGGGCCGTTTCCTCCTGGTACCCAGTGGAGCCTCTGGCGGCCATTCTACGGTCTCCGCCAGGTGCCCCGTGAGTGGCACGACACACTGAGGACTACACTTGCGGCTCTTGGGTTTGCTCCTTCTACAGCCGACCCGTCGCTGTTTCTGCGCACCGACACCTCTTTGCCGCCGTTCTACATCCTCGTGTACGTCGACGATTTGGTCTTTGCCACTGCTGACACTGCTGGACTCGCCCACGTGAAGTTTGAGCTGCAGAAGAGACACACGAGCACAGACCTGGGTGAACTGCGCAGCTACCTTGGCTTGCAGATCACCCGGGACAGAGCACAGCGCACCATTACCCTGACTCAGTCACACATGGTGCAGCAGGTCCTTCAGCGCTTCGGCTTCACGTACTCCTCGCCTCAGGCCACTTCTCTGTCTACTCGCCAGTCACTCTCAGCTCTGCCTTCGGATGAGTCCGTAGAGTCGAGTGGCCCGTACCCAGAGCTTGTTGGCTGCCTTATATACCTGATGACCTGCACACGACCTGACCTTGCATACCCTCTTAGCATCTGGGCACGCTATGTGGCTCCTGGGAGACACAGACCAGAGCACATGGCTGCAGCGAAGAGGGTGTTGCGCTACGTGTGCAGTACGTCGGGCATGGGGCTAGTGCTTGGAGGGCGACGTCGAGTGGTCCTCACAGGTCACGCAGACACTTCTTGGGCTGATGACCAGGCTACGCAGCGGTCGTCACAGGGTTACACCTTCAGCCTTGGCTCCGGCTCTGTTTCGTGGCGGTCTACCCGCTCGTCTTCTGTTCTCAGCTCTAGCTGTGAGGCTGAGATCTACGCAGGAGCCATGGCTGCACAGGAGCTACGCTGGCTCACTTACCTGCTGACTAACCTAGGAGAGCCGCCTCGTTCTCCTCCAGTTCTGTACGTAGACAACAAGGCCATGCTGGCCTTGTGTTGGGAGCACAGACTGGAGCACAGAACGAAGCACATTGCTCTCCGCTACTTTCTGGCTCGTGAGCTGCAGCAGCGTGGTCAGCTCCACCTCACCTACGTGGCCTCTGAGGCCAACACTGCTGATATCTTCACCAAGGCCCTTCCGCCTTGTGATCATCAGCGCTTCTGTACTTTGCTAGGTCTTGTGCCTACCTGGCCTCACTTGCTCACTTCTTGATCTTGTTTGTACTGTCTTCTTTCTATACCTGCACTTGCTTGTTTACCTTTATATTTATGACCTTGCATGTGAACTGGCCTTTTGGCCTTACTCTTGTGCTCGAA